ACTGTCGTTTTTGATTTATGAAAAAGTGAAGAATTATAAGTGCGAGAGTCGACGTTGTAAATTTGTCACATTTCAACTGAAAAAAAAACGATTCTCAAAATTGCTCGAGAATTTGAATAAATCATTTTGTCAAATATATTTTGTAGCTATGAAAAAGCGAAACATTTTGAAATGAAAATATGTACTCGATGGACGACAAATACCAACCAGAGAGTTGAATCTATTTAGCTAGTTAGAAATTACGGTAATAAATGATTCTATTCTACTTTGTTCCAACAGAACGTCGATACTTCGATCGGAGAATGAAGAAAGGACTGTTTCGTTATTCGAAACATCAAACGTAGAGTAAGTGGGTCTCTGCGCGGGCGATCGATGCCAATTCAGCCAATGATCACGCACTGCAGCGATTGCTGGCTGCGATTTCGTTTTTCTAATTGGTACAGAATTGTGAGAAGAGAAGCGTTTACTAATGGTACGATGATACTGTTGATGGAATTAATGCTATACATATGTGTGGTTGCGGTTAGATTGAAACGTACGGTGTTGTGCTCAAGTGATTGAGAATATTCAATTGTTTCGGATGAAACAGGTAAATGAACGTAAACACCAGGTGGGAGAGATATTATAAGATAATGATGCAACGATAATAGTGCAATATTTGTCGAGGGTATATTATTAAAATTAGGGATGATTCTAATTTTGGTAAATTTCCGGATAATCTTAGGTAACTCTAAATTTGAGATGAATAAATTTGAAGATAGTTGAATTTTCATATCACTATTGCCTACAATGTTATTTTTACACTAGAAGAAAATTATAGTAAGGAAAAGATATTTGAACATAGGGTAATAGAAATTAGTCGATTAATTAAAATAATAAATGGAAACAGTAATACAATGAAACGGAAATATTAGAGCGCGCTCGAATTAACTCGAGCGTGCAAGTTAAGGGGTTAATATTGTGAACGTAGGTAATAAAATTAATCATGTGTAAGTATAAGAATTAAGAATGAAGGCTAAAGAAAGTGAAGTCTACAAAAAAGATTTGATAATGATTTATGAAATGGAATTGTATTGTTTTTATTCACAATTAACCTAACGTTTATTTCTCAGAAATACGTCATAAATAACTTTGTTGCAAGCAGGAGACGGGATAACTTTTTTTTTTTTTTTTTTAATATCCCTCAACCGAGAGTTCCTTTATTGCATATTAGCAATACACGCGGCACACATTCAAAGCTATTGTCCGTTCAATGCCATTCTATCTATTCATCTTCTTATTATCACAAAAAAAACCGTGTTTGCCTCGAAACGCCGTTGCCTTTACGATTAGCAGAAACAGGTATAGGAAAAACAATAGAAACTTGTTGTTTAAGGTTAGGTTAGGATTTTCGATCGTGTATTTAAGCTATATTCGCAATCACACTTCTATATTGTTTCGTTGATTAAAAGATTGTCGCTTTAAAACCTCAATGAAATCAAAATAATATCACTTCCATATGGAATATTTCAATTTTCAACAGAACGGGAATGAAAATTAATTCGAAATATACGATGTCGATAAAATTTAACCACAAATGTAACTAACTAACATGTCGAATTTGTATAGGAAATAATAAATAAGGATGGTAATCCTGGGAATACAATTTTCTAGTACTAACCTCACTCCTACTATACACTAACCTATGAAAGCAAAGCAATAATGTACCGGTTTATACCTTTCAACTTCAATAACCATTATAATTAGATATATTCAGGCACCACGCCGTTTAACCTCAACTTGAATCGCAACCAGTCGTCAGAAATGGAATTCTAAGTGTATTTTATCAAATAAATACGATCCCTGGCCAGCCAGGAAACTCGAAACCCGTTTACGATACGCCGCAGCTTATAAGCAATTCATGGCGGGATCATGCGTTCAAAATAATCCAGGGAAATTCGATTAATCGATTCGCGTGACGTTATCGATGAACTAACCTGTCATCCAGTGCTAATTACCACTGACGTTTATTACATCGGGAAGAACCGTGAACATGGGCGCGCAATATTGACACAACATGATGCGACGTAAGGAACTTTCTGTTCCCACAAGACGATGTTCTTGAACCAGCAACGACGAACCGCAAATATTTGTCTTTTCCACGCCATCTTGACAGGAGTGGCGCGCTGTTCCGACACTCCAATAGTACTGTTATAATGAGCACCGGTAATATCGATGATTTTTAACAGCTTCGTTTCAATTCACTCGTATTAACGAATACGTTTCTATATTCCGAATAATACTCGTACGATCTCGTACAATTCTTATGCAATTACAACAATCACGATACCACGTTTCACGTAACACACAACACGCAAGGTTATTTAACGAAGGAATCTCGCAATCGGTATTTGACGGTTACCACTGCTCTGAACTTGTCACGTTAGCGAATCGATATAATCGAACGAACGGTCGCGTCTCGCTTTAACGATGTGTTAATGCACATCTACGCCAAAAGCTTGAATACAAATAAAAACTGACGAGTCACGGCAAAGGCGTTCAACAAATTTCTCCACACTGACGAAACGAGTTTACGTTACGAAAGCAAAAAAAAAGAAAACAAAAAAGAGTGGAGAAAGAAAGAAAGAAAGAAACGAAGGAAGGAAAAGAGAAAAAAGTAGAGCTGAAATTCGTTCGAGCGTGTTACGCGTCAGAAATTCCTGGAAGACATAAACAAAGCGGTCGCGTGTAACAGAAACCGACGTACGCTTTTTTCCGTCGGTATACATAAATACTGACCGTATTGAAAGACGGAGACTTTCAGGTTGAAGGTCACTACGCGGGACGAGTAAAATAATGAGTGGTATATACGTTCGAACCGTGTCGCTTACCTGATTCAGATTCGTAGGAATGATGTCAGGCGTCTGTGGTAACATTTTGCCGGTGATCTGTGGTCGACTGCCCCTCGAGTCAAAATGATCCTGCAGTACACGCGATCGGTAGCATAATATCCTGACGAGAGAACGGTAGAAAACACCTTGACAGGATACACACAAGGATCGATCACGAACGACTCGGCACCAACCGTTTATCACTGACCAATGCTATTGACGCACTGCTTATTTTCTACCCGACAGTCTTTACGGTTTCTTAATGAAGTAATTACGCTAATAACATGCGTTTTAGCCTTCGTCGTTTACGAAAATACAATCGATTTTTTCCGCGTCGAAGACGAAGCGACGAGGCGAAAGAATACTCCCTCTCAACACGAAGTCATGCGCGAGACTGACGGGTCCGGGCGGTGTAGCTAAAGCCGAGCGTAACCGAGCGGCGACGGAGACGGCCGAGCACCTATCATCCCCCGTATACGCGCACACTATGGTATTTCTGAAATTTAATCTCTATCGACTACCGATGAAGGAATTGTCATGGGAATTACCGCTCCAATTCGTACTCGATGTTAATATTAATGAGCTTTTTCATCCTGAAAATGAAAAAGAACCTTCCTTCCGTGAGGATTTGTTTGCGTTTCAAGGGTAATTAAACTATGTCAATGTTTCGAGAATTTCAAAACGATATTAGCTGAATTTTATATATACTAATGGAATGGAAACATTAATTATGCAGCACTGAAGTATTAACAAATAATCTTTTTCCTTGTTTCTAAAATAACACTATCACGTTCAATTTATTAAAAAAAAAAAAAAAAATATAGCGTTTCATTGAAAATTGTTATTTATTAAAAAATGTCAAAATATTCTCTTCTTTTATATTATACTCCTTTTATTATTTAAAGAGTATTTTATTTGGAAAATACTCAACAATGATTTGTTCTTTATCAGAAATTTCCATTCCATTCCACGTTAAATTATACAATGTTCAGCATTTAATAACAATATCATATTAAAAAAGAAACGTTTAAGCACATATCAATAGAGATTAAATCGAACAAAAGAGATTACAGGTAGGATAAGCTGAAACTTATTTTCTTTTTGTTTTTTAATCTTTATCTCTACGTATCTAAGTCAACTTCTTTGACAAATTAAAACTGTTTCCTCTGTTCTATCTCTTATCACAAATGACTAATATTGTACATTGTACATGATAACATAAAATATTATTTTAATACAATCTTATATCCTCCACGCTAATTTCTACCTCACTTTTAATATAACCAATATTATGTAAACGATGAATAAGTCAATTATTCAATACGAAAATCAACAGTGATTACATACCTGCTATTATAATTTATACAATCTCCTTTATCAAGTAGTACGAATAATAATTTTAAATATCCATTGAAATTATTTTATAAATAACAATTTACATACTGAGATGCATAGAAAACTGCAATATCTTTTCCAACAAGCTTCAAATTATAATACTACTAAATTAATATGTAATAATCAAACCTTTTCACCTTAAAACACCACAAAACTAATTTTAACAAGCTAAATATCGTTGGTTTGCTAGAAGATTCACGTAACTAACAAAAGTAAATTTTTCAGAAAATTTCATTAATTACTCGACCGTTTATATTTTTTTTTTCACAATTTCAGGTTCTCTAACAAAATATTCTTTATGTTCACTGCATTTTATTAAAAAAAAGGAAAGAATTAAAAGTCCTATTTTGAATTGTGACCTGATTCTTAATTGTAATTTTCGTCACATTCTTTCACATAAAAATAGCTCACTTTTGCAACTACTTTTTGCAAACATCTCAAATTGGCGATTTTTAAAATGCACCAATATTTAAATTTTCCACATTGTCCCGCTTTTTTTATTATTTTCACCTATTATTCCCTTACGGATTAAGGTCGCGAAATCGTGTCACTTCGTTATTACATTATTTCACATACACACGTAGGCAAGATACGTTCGGCGAACTTTCCTGGCGAAATACACGAAGTTCGCGAATTAAAACTTGTCCGATACACAACTGTACGCGTATATACACGGCAGCTACTGTACATACGCGAGGACAGTTCATTCTACGAAATACGACTTCATTTTCTGAAGGAGGGGGAGACTGGTCCGACATCAGGAGCTCGTTTGTATTCACTCTGTAATGGTTGCCTCGCAGGACGCATAATAGTCGTATCTAAAGAGTCGCCTTGCAAACGACAAATTCCTTTCTCCGGCCGCTTCGGCCATACTTGGAATTTAAACGCCGCCTTCGCGAGACGAACCTTTGAAATTCGCGGAAACCTCGTTTGGAAAGATCAAACGCTATGGGCTGACATTATGAGGGGTCGTCGTGAAAGCGACGAATCGGACAAAAGTGGAAGGACGAGAGCGTGAAACAGGACCACGGAATCGGCGGGACAAAAGGGTTCGCAGTTAAAAATATCGGTTACGTCAACCGGCCACTTCGAGGACAGGAAGTGTTACATCGTCCTTCTTCTTCGTTGGCTTTGGAAAAACGCGCGGAATTTTATAATTATCGTTACTTGTAGAATTGTACTACTCTCGGGTTACTTGTTTAATGTCGTGTAATAAAAATGTAATCTACATATCGCAGCCTGCGAGAAAACTGTCGCGAACAGAAAACGTGAAATTTTCGAGGAGAACAAGAAGAAAATTTCTCGTTAGAAAATCACTTAATTACAGAATTATGAAATATACGTCAGCTAGAATTTACTCATTTGAAGTATTACAGTTCTACTTCTGACATTCCTTCTGATGGTAAATTTACGTATTAAAATTTCTAGCAAAATTGAAAACTTTTAATTAGTGACACTTTTCTCGCGGAGATGGGAGGAAAGTGTTTTTTAGCTCCAATTTAGCTCTAATTTCTGAGATAACTGACAGATACCAGTTTCGTTAAGGTAGATATTTCAGAAATTTAGTGTAATTGAATGCAGAAAACTATGTAAAACAAACGAGTAAGTGGAAATTTCGAGGATGTTCAGAATATATGCGTATTAATACACAGTTTAATTTGTGTTTACTTTCAGTTGATATATACACTATCGGCCAAAAGTTTCGAATCACCTCCCACTTTTCGTCAATATCACATCTGCTGCTAATTTTTCATAGACTTGAAGTTTATCTCAATTCTACATTTATCAAATTATCTCATATCAATTGATTCGAACGATAAAAAATTCTCAAAGTCGCTGACTTTTTTCTGGAAATTTTGGCCGGTAATGTAGGTACCCTCAGCTGGTCCTTTTTTATGTTTGCAACAATATTAAAGTTACTTTATTCAAGTAAAGAAAATAAACATAAAATTATTGTAAAATAATTCTAATCTTTAGAACCTTATATTCCATAATCAAAAAATCAACAAAACCGTTTGAAAATATCTTCTCGTTACTTTTTGTCGAAATACAAAATACCTATTATCAAAGTTAAAAATCTGCTTCATTATTAAAAAAATCCCAACACAAATTGCTCCAACATTATTTCACACCGTATTCCTGTTATTCGCTACTTTCTCGAGTGAATTATTTCGCCGTTGAACCAAAAGTCCGTGAATCTTTTTTAACTTCCAGCACACCTGTTTAAAGTACGATAAGAACGATGATTACATCACGGGGCATGACTCAGACGAGTGATTCTCATCGGTGCCGACGAATTCTGTGGGCTTTGTTGTCACAAAATGAGTCCTTTCGTGATGGTTAATGTACGAGGAACGAGCGTGTGGCTTTTACCGAAAATGGTCCGCTCGAATTTTCTCCGGGACTATTCAATTACGGCAACTCGTTTGAAATTGACCCAACTGACATTCCTCTGTGCCGCTAATGGTCTTGTAACCATCTCGAGGTACAGTGAAGTACGTGTGATAATGTTCTAATAACAAATTGTTGCAGTAGTTAAGGGAAACTTTATTACTTCGTAAAACACGAAATAATGCAGACATTCTTAACACGATGTAAATAGATATGGCAAAGGTCTGTAGCATGTGTTTCTTTCTTAATTCGAAAAATATTTGGGCACTATCGTAAATATTCTAGAATTACGATTCTTCATTTTACGTGTATTCTACACTAGGAGATCCTCGAATTGATTAAACTCTGTGCACATACACCTTTCGTCCGACCAATATCCACCATCTATCGAGGATCACAAATCTCTCCGTACTTCCACTTTAGCAAACAACTGGAGAGCATTATTACAGTATAAAGCGTTGAAGATCGTAAATGTTGTTAATATGATTAAAACTAAGTTTTGAAAAATGAAAAAGTGAAATACCCTAAAAGGTAAATAAAACTGTGAACCCTAAAAAGCAAAAATTCGTTAAATTCTATGCACACTATCTAATCACCAGATTTATTCCATTTTTTTCAAATATCTCAGATATTTCCAATAAAATATAATCTCACATATTCCCAACGAAATATAATTTGAAAATTTACCAAACAAAATTTCGATAAATCTTCAAACTTTTTAAAACACCACCACGAATACTCAAAAAAAGAAGAAAATTACATAATTCTCTGTTAAGTCCGTATTTTGTACCATGGGAACGAAAAACTCGTTGAACTCTCCTCGATACACCGTCCAACTCTCCTTTCTATCCGCCCAATCACCGCGCTTAACCGCAGATCACAAATCTCCCTATTTTTCCATACATCCACTTTCCCATTAGCAAACAATCGTTCGCCGTCTCGTTGTTTTACGTAACCCAGACAAAAGATAAATTAATTACAAAATCTGGTTGGATCGATTCGCGAGCCTTATACTTCCTACTGACTTTCTACGGCCTACATTTTATCCGCGATAGAGAACGGTATTATCCGCATCGGCGAGCCAACGACTTCCGGAATAATTCACCGTCGAATTCCATAGCCCAGCGGAGAGGGGCTTCGCCTTTAATTCCAATATCTCATTTACGTTTACGTTCCTGGCTCGGTGGTAATAGCGGCAGATACAGCGGACCCCGGCCCGATGTATCCACGGAAGAGCTGGCGCCGCGAAAGCTCCAGAAGGCTATCCATAAAACATGCTCGCTCGAATGAGCCAAACGAGGAGAAAGGAGTTGAACGTGAGAGGGAACGGGATGGAAATGGTAGCCCTGACGAGAGAAAAGAGACCGAACACGTCTTCCCCGACACGCTTGTCTTCCGTGGCCACCAAGAAAACGCTTAGCCAAAGGAAGCTCGTTTACACGATGGATAGAAGGGAGGGAC